ATAATTAGCACTGTTGGTCCGCTAACGACAAGGAAAACCTCTCGGAACCTGGGTGACTTTAAGTGGAATGTCTTGTCGTCTTGACGCAATTCCCTGCCTAATCAAACAATAATCGCATCTTTTACTGTGAGGTCATATAGCAACATGCACCGCTTCATATTGCATCCTGTTACCGTGGAATGTGCCTTTGATGTGCAACCGGCTTTTGGTGTAAATGTGGGAAATCGGTTACCTCCCAACAATCCATCGACGTCAACTACCTGGGTTTCATTGTCAGGACTCCCTTCCTAATTCTGCCCCTAAAATTCGAAGAGGTGAATATGGCGTGCTAGATGAGAGGCGCCAGGACGTATCCCAGAACTTCAATTTCGCTCAAATCAACCAAACTTTTTGCTCGGGTATTTAGTGCCAAACGTGCTTGTGAGGACAAAAATATTTAACTAAGCCTCTGCTTGTCATCGCAATCATTTGCATTTTTCGAAAGGACATCGAAATATTTGCACCAAAAATCAACGAAAATCGAGAATATGGCGCAATCGGAGGGGACTAAGTAGCACCGGGTACCCCCAGGAGGCCCGTCGCGCGGCAAGAAGGCAAAGTCAGCGGACGAGTCGCGCGCGTACTATAGGGATTTCGCGTCAAGTTAAATAGAGTGTCCCATTGCACGTCCTACATCGCACACCACGCGCTGCAACTCGTCCGCCGACTCTGCCTTCTTGCCGCGCGACGGGCCTCCTGGGGGGTACCCAGTAGCACCAACCACCATGCCTTTTTGTTCACCGAGATCACTATGAGGTTTTCCTTCAGCTTTCAGAATATGAAGCTGTGGATCATTAACAATGACATAACTAGTATGCCGCATCATAAACATAAATAAATAAACATGTAAACAAATTAACAATAAAAGGAAGAAGTGAACTGTAGACTGTGCTTACTGAGAATTCCCAGATTGGGTCCAATCGAGACCGCAATCATTCGTGAGATCAGCCGGTATAATGCGTATGCGTTCTGTAGCCGTAACGCGGTAGGCCGTACCTGAATGAAATTGTGTAATTCGCATGAAAATGAGTTCATTGAGTCCAAAGAGACTTACAGAAATCGCTATGCGATTTTCCTCCAGCTTGTAGCACATATAATTGTAAAGTTCAAAAAATGCAGGAATGTTCAACAAGACGGCTCCAATCGAAAGCGCTATAGGCATTCGAAGAAGGCGTCGATACGTCGAGCAGTACATGAATGATATCCGTCGTTCACTACGGAACGACTGCACCAGTGCTGCTGACCTAAATAAAGTATTGAATGGGGTCATATTCGTAGCCATGGCTGACTCAACATGGTAGACTTGAGCATTAGGTGCAGTAACGCTCAAGTAATAATAAAATGGTGAGATTATCTGCGTAAGGGCGTGAGTGCAACAGGCCAACTCCGAGACAGCAGGGTCAACGTCACGTTGGACCGATTTCACGACCACCCTTCACCACCCTCGCCTGCCATCGCCATCATGGGGCTCATTCTATAGTATTCGATTCTGAGACCAGTCGACACAGCCCAAACTCCGCCCACTTTTTTAGAATACTATCACTTTCCCTCTACTTTACCAACATTACGGCAAAATTTTAGCGCGCCAACCAACTGCATAATCACTTCCCGCGTCCGGAGATGCATAGCTTTGGGTCCACCCCGAGTTGGGCCTTGCTGCACCCGGCGCCAGGATGCGCCACGCATTCTATTTCAAGCACAAATGAATGCGTTTCTAGACTAGGGAACTAAGGTTGAAGAAGTTTGCAGAGCAAGTAGCTCTTCGAGCTTTGTGACAGTAGGCAAAGCTCTCAATCTTTACAACGCCTCGACCGTACTTTCTGAGAGCAGTTCCAACTTATGCCAACATTACATATAACTCTTATTATCACTCCACCCTGATTAGTGATTACTACAAGTACAAATTTGATGGGTATAAATTTCCAGTGAAATTTATAAAACATATCACTAATCAATCGTTTGACGGAAATCACCCCCTGTTTTAGAATGCGCCTCCAAGACGACCTATGAAGGTCATTAAATTTTTTTGTGGCACTTTTATCGTCCAATCGTGCTGAGAAGCGATTTGCTGGGATCACCTCAGCCTAAGCCTAAGCAGGTGAAGTTCTAGTTCGCGGGGGGGGGGGGGGGTGGGGCACTCCATTGTGCTCTCCAATACTAGGATAAGGATAAGAGTTTCATGACACGTAATCGATTCATTTAAATTACTTCTGATAAGGACCGGTGTAGTGTGGAAGTACTCCTAAGGTGCTTTCAGATTTCGGCCTGCTGTGGTCCAAGGAAATGGTCCTGAACTAGAGGTATGGACATCCTTTCCTAGGCAAGGTGTAGGAGCCAGAGAGTACGACCGACCACATACCATAAATTGCCTAGGAGCAGGATGTGCGTGATTTGGGTATACCCGCTCCTTATCAGAAAGAACACTTGGAATGAGTCGTTACCTATTGTTTCATCCACTGGGTTAAACTCCAAAGGAGAGCTCTCTATTACTTAGCGATAACAAGGATTGCCCCCTCCCCCTCCCCCTCTCCCCCCTCGCACCCCACATCAACTGGAATTTCACCTCCTAAACATTGACATCTCTGGCTCCACTGTCACTTACTAGCATACTAACACATCGATTCGACCCCGGACTTTGCCTTCAAGTCGCGTTCATAATCAGCAATATTCAGCTTGATGGGATAGAAAGAGAACTGGAGGCTTGGCTCAGCATTAGGAGAACAGAAGAAGTGACGAAAAGGATCAGATTACAAACCTCGGGGTCCTGAACGGATCCCTTGTGGCCATAAATCGCTGCCAAGTGATAGCAACGACACACCACGTCTGAAAAAGACTGTGTTGCTGTCCCGAATAGGGCTAGAGAGTTCTTTGAAACTGCAAACAATTCCCTTGGCAAGCCAATAAAGAACTAACCGCTGCCGTATTGGCAATCTGTGAGAATGGATGAAACCATGGCATAAGAATGTTCAGCCAATCGGAATTGATAGCGATCGGCAGTTTTCGAATTGCGTAGTAGAAAAACGCACACCACAACAGTACCGTATCCCAGATGGCCAATGCTATCAACGACACGGCCAACACGACTCCTCGGTTCTGTAATTGCAGATTTTCGGAAGTCCGTCAGATATTCAGCTCTATTTTCCAAAATAATCTCTACTCTTTGACGTAGTCTCTTTTTCTGCGATTACACTCCGACTTAATTGGCAAGAGCCGAACAGAGTACTGGTGGGAAGAGGTGCTATGCGGAATTGGATCAGCGGGGGATGGGTTTCAAACCGGAAGGTTTTTAGAGCAGGGTCAACCGTTCGTTCCGCAGTTCTCGATAAGGGGGTCGTAGTTGAGTTTTCTTCGGAGGGGGTCGCATACTTTTTTTAAGTTGAAGGAGTCGTGTTTAGGGGGTTTCGAGACGATTCTGAGAAAACTTCAGGAAAGAAGTCAAAAGTAAACAAAATCAGGGACATTCTTTTTTGAGTTCCCCTTGATCCCCCTGGCCCTTCCCCGGTTGACGGCTGTTTTGGAGGTTAAGAGTGGGCGGAGTTGGACTGTGTCGACTGGTCTCAGAATCGCTTATTACAAAAACAGTCAAACAGATATGATTTAGAGGGTGGCAGACGGGATTCAGGTTCGTATTGGGGGAGTCTCCTCAGTCCTAGTTATGGTGGTAGGGAGTCGTATCGGGACCTCCCTAAAGAAAGGGGAGGGGTCGTGAAATTTTTGAAAACTCGGAACTCATGGTTGACCCTGTTTCAGAGTGCTCCCTAGCTGTTGATTATTCGGTCATATTGTAGCAATGTTGGAAAGCAACCCAAAAAGGACTCTTAACTGCAGCGAATAGTAACGGTTGTCGAGAAACCAAAATAGCTGAAATTTTGCACGGTATAAAATCTGTGGCCATCACTCTGCTATTCAATATGGCGCCTTTCTACGATCCACCCACTTCCTTACGCAAAACTTGAAAACACCCACCTTATCGAGATTGGTTACTTGAACTCGTCGCACTCCGTGAATATTTCCGATCGTGCCGAGGATGACAAGCGCCGTCGTCATGTAGCCATTAACGGTCGTCGAGAATATTCTAAATTTCGTATATGAGATATAGGACACCATTTTTGACAAGACCCATTGTGTTGCACTACGGGGACCTGACCATGTCCTGGTCTACTGGGCCTTCGAAACTGTTAGCACATTAGTTTTTAAGGATAAGCCTAAATATCAAACTCTTGTGAGCCCTTGCTCCCTA